GTCGTGTAGTTTGATCTAATAGGGTAATAAATACAAAATTTTGTTACAAAAATTGTATGTTCATATCTCTTAGGATACCAAGAGACATATATTACTGATATTTAATTATATTATTTGATTTATGTCGAATTTATAATTATATGTATAATTAACCTGGTTTTGCAGAAATGGTATTTGATTCCTTGTATAAACTAAAAATCTAAAATAGATTATGATATGATATTGAATTTGAAAAAAAAAATCAAAATGGATTAGAACAAATTTTACTTGTATTATTTTCAAGTGAGCAAACGCAATAAATTTTATAAACCGAATCATACTAAACCGAACTAATCTGACGAGAGATTGAAAATTTCAAATTCCGATCGATTATAGCCAAGTATTTACATATTGCGAAAAACGACGTCGTTTTCCGCTTGATCCAAATCTACAAAGGAGGAGAGTGGCTCTCGAAAGGAGGGAATATTACTCAAATAACCCACTTGGGTCGCAGCAATTTCAGTGTACACCACTGAAAAAAAAAAAAAATTTTGCGACCTTATTACGACTAATATATAACTAATATACAACCTATTACGACTAACAAACTACTCTTATTTTAGTTGTATATTAGTTATATATTAGTCGTAATAAGGTCGCAAAATTTTTTTTTTTTCTGGGTGGTGTACCCTGAAATTGCTGCGACCCAAGTGGGTTATTAGGGTTAAAACCCCTCGAAAGGATGGCAATGTCTGATCTTCACGTTTAAGACATTACCTGCTTCTTCATCTCCACCGTTGATCACTTCACAGCATTGTCTACGTGGCGCCTGTTTGTTCATCACCACAACAATTTAATTACTCAGTATGATCAGTATATATATATATATATATATATATATATATATATATATAACCACTTGCATGCATGCATGCATATATCGCACTCACGTTGCACTATACGTCTATCAGAAATAACATAACAAAAATTTCGAATGGTCCAACTCATAAAATCATATATTATAAGTTTAATGTGTATATATTTATATTGTTCTTACCTTTTTCCATACGTCGGAGTTCAACTTGGAAGCAGTGACGTCGATGAACTCGACAGCCAAGGCGCGAGAATATTCCGGCGAGTCCTCGCACTGGTTCTCTTCGTTCAACTCCACAAACTTCCTATACGTGGTCAGGGTTTGACCCGACCCGAACTCGTAAACTCGATCGAGGAAATAAACAACGGGTCTCAAACAGGGGTCGTCGCTAACGGGTCGGGTGTCGAACGTGAAGGGCTCAGAGCTTGAAGTCCTCCACGACTTGAAGGTGAGTAATGTGGTCTCGAGCTCTTTCGCGGTCAGCAACGACGGGTAGATCTGAACGGTGTAGCCCCACGAGACGGATACGGACCAGTTCCGGGTCGGGTCGTAGCAGAAGCTGTGTTGGAGGATCCGGTTCGGGTCGGATCTGAAGGAGGACATTAGCCTCTTGAGTGAGTCGACTTGGCTGGTGGAAGGAAAGATCGCGTCGACGTAGTCGAGGTGGTGAAGGGAGACCAGCGGAGCCACCGGGTGGGCCGCGAGTAGTCCGTACGGGTTCCCACGAATATCCACCTGCATGAATCACGCATAGAATAAGTGAAATCGTTAGTTACATCAGAATTTTATGGTCTAGAATCATTGGGTTTTTTAAAAAAAAAAAGATATTCTAGATTATAATGTTTTTTTAATCAAATTCGTAGATATGTTTTTCCCCACGAAACGGACAGAAAATGAGAATCTAAAATACAGAAGAAGAAAAAAATACGTCATGTTATGTTATGTTACTTGGTGGAACCCTAGTTCCTTAGTGATGGAAACTCCAATCATACTAGGGACAAAAATAGTTCATGCAGTTATTTATATATAAAAAAATTATATTTTTTTTTTATAAATTTGTACTTTCTTATGATTTTTTCCTCGAATAAATACAACGGTTAAATTAATCCGGATTTTGTGGTCTAAAATGATTGGTATTTCTAAATGATACTCTAGATTATAATATGTCAATATCAATTTCGTAATTATGTTGTTCCCCATGACAAAAAAAAAACAAGAATCCAAAAAGAGAGAAGAAGAGATGTAACCTGATGAAACCCTAGTTCCTTGGTGATGGGAACTCCAATCTCACTAATACAACCTTCGATCTTCTGATCCGATCCGTAGAACGAAGCGTATCGATCGATGCAACCGTCGAGAATCCGTACGAGCTCGGCGGCCAACGGATAGCTAATGGCGAGTCCTCCACCGCCGTAAGCCATGGCGTACGAATGAACGATGTCTTGCTCGACACTCTCGGAGTTTCCCCCGACATAATACATCTGGTTGTGGTCGTACTTGTTTAGGACAGTGACGAGATTGTCCAGAAAAAACACCGTGTCGTCATCTCCCATCACGAACCATCTCACGTTCTGTAACCCTAATTCGAACGTCTCCTTCACTATCCTCGCCATTCGGATAGCCGATCTCGAACCATACCTATAGAAATCAAATTAAAATAGGTGTGATGTTCATCTATAAACGATGCGGATTAACATTGGATCGTTTTTGTTAATCTATAACGATATGGGTACCATTACTATTCATACATTTTCACTTATATGTACCAATCATGCAACATTTAACGTGTTTTTGCTAATATGGATATCATTTTATTCATCATATCGGACGGTTTTTGTTAATCTATGACGATGTCGTTACCATTTCATTTATATGTTCAATAAGTGCGGTGTTAATTAGTATTGAATAGAATATAGTTTAACGAGCTATAAATGGATAGGAAATCAGGAATGAAATCTTATATGCATGTGAATAAAATCAGTGAAATAATACGATTAGGTTAGATATTGGAGCAATTAATAATATATACCAGCACGTGTAGTTGAATCGGGAGGTGTCACCGGAGATCCGGTACGGGGGAGAAGTTTCCGGCCACGTCATATTACGCGGCGGCTTCTCGTCGAGCCACACGAAGCCACGTGTCCTATTCGGCCGCCACCAGAGCCCTGAGTAGCGGCGGGGGGCGG